TACAAAAGTATCTTAAAACAGGCCTGGAAGGCCATACCTTGCAGGTTTGCAGTGCCAATACACTCCAGAACATGTAGATCAGTCAGAATTCAATGATATTCAAGTGTTATATAATATTTCTCCAGTCATGCAGCCGTGGTATCACATCAACTCGAGGATGACTGGGACGAGCAGGAGTCGAGGGGCGCTGATTCAGACCTTCGCGCCGACATTCCTAGAGGGTACGTACTACGTTTGCCAAAAAAAACGATTTGTTAGCACAAGAGTGACTCACCAAGGCATTCCAGTCATGCAGCCATGGAATCTCCAGAACTCGAGGATGGCTCGGATGAGCAGGAGTCGAATGGCGCCGAATCTGGACCAGAAGAACAAACATCAGAGTTTGAAGAAGAAGGGGAGAAGGGCAAGACGGGTAACGCGAAATCTGTAAACGAATGCGACGTAGAGATCGAGGGTGTAGTAGGTGAAAGTGGGGACATGACGTTGACAGACATGGCAACGAATGTCACTATTGACAACATGGGCTTGGAGGAGGTCTTATCAGTGCCCCCCTAATTCCTGCAGGAATCCGGTCATTCCTGTGGATTCTGGAGGAATGAAATTTGGCAGGGAGGCCTGCCATTTTCATCATTCCGGTGCCTTACCATTCCGGCGGAATTTGGGCATTCCGGAATTGACACCGGAATGATCCGCGGAATGCACAGGAACGGAATGCCACGGAATCCGTTTGATTGTTTGGTTGTCTGTAGTTTGTTTATTTCACACCTGTTACCAAACAAACGCAACACTCTTTCCTCTCCTTCCCACCACCACCCACATCCTCCACCCTCTTCCCCTCGGCGTCCATACGACGACGATGCCACATCAGCAAACAACGAACACGCCAGGTGCCACGTCGCCGAGTACGACGTGGCAGGGAGACGACACCGCAACATTGACGAGGCGACGAGGTGGCAGGGACGCAACGTGGGTACGAGGCACCGTGACGACGACGACGAACGACGACGACATTTGTCGTCGTCCGTCCTGTTTGTGAGTCCATCCCCCATTTCTCATTGCTGACACGAGTTTTAGGTGCCACGTCGCCCATGGCGACGTGGCAACCAGATGACGAACGATGTCGCATACATCGTTCGTCATCTGCATTCAACTAACGACGTACATAACGACCACCCACCACCCACGAAAACACTCCGATGCCCACGAAAATGACACGCCGCCCACGAAACGATGCTCAGCGCCCATCTAGACCACCAGCGGATACGAAACAGTGCCCAGCGGACGCAAATCAACACCCAGCGCCCATATACACTGCCAGCGGGCCCACGAAAACACCCAACCACCCACGAAAACCACACCCCGCCCACGAAAATGCCCCAGCGCCGACGGAACAACACCCAGCGCCCACACGTGAGGTCAACGACGACACGCAACGCCCAGCGGACAGCAAACAACACCCAGCGCCCACGTACAACACGCGACGACGCCAATGCAACAACGGCACGCGACAACGACAACGCGACAACGACAGGCGACCTCGACAACGTGACGACAACAACACTCGATGTCGACAACGCAACGGCGACACGCAACATCGACAACACAACGGCGACATGCAACGTCGACAATGCAAGTCCCCCACTCCATTAGTCCCCCCTTCCACCACCCTCTCTCCTCACCACTCCTCCCCCCCTCCCTCTACAACCCACTCTCCCTCTGTGTCTCTACCCCTTTTCTTGTCTGCACCCTCTTCATTGTCCCTACCCCCCTCCTTGTCCCTACTGCCTTTTCTTGTCCCTACCCCCCCTGCTTTAATATAGATTGTATGTAGTAAAATACATTTCATGTCCTTGTTAAATACATTATAATTGACATATGAATCTATTGCTTGACATATGGGTTCTATGAGGGATTTAGAGTACTAAGTTATCAGGATAATGTAGGAGTTGATATGCAGTCACATGATGAAAAGCTGATCAGTAAATTTACATGGTTTTTGAACCTTACTCTGCTTCATCCCAGTCCTATTCCAGTGGAATTCCTGCGGATTCCTGTGGAATCCGGTCCCATTCCTGTGGAATCCTGCGGAATCCAGTCCCATTCCGGGGATTCTTGGGAATCTGGTTCCATTCCTGCGGATTCTGTGGAATTCTGTGATTCCTGCAGGAATGGGAGGGGCACTATAAAGTACTGCCTTTGACGTGTTAACAGGGAGCGTGGTTGTAAACTCTACGGACGGAGGACAGACGGTANCCATAACGGATCCAACTTCTGGTAGAAGAGCAATGTTACCCACTTTTGACAGAGGAAAACCACCAGTAATGATGAAAATGCACACTGAAGAGGATCTTCAACCGAAAACTGAGAAAGTTTTTCAACCCTCGATGATTTGATTGAAAAAGATCAAGGAGAAATCGCGATAGCTTTCGAGGAAGACGGTGCGGGAGGATATAAAGGCCTATCGTACGCCTTACCAATGGACAATCAATTCTCTGAAGAAGAGACTAGGAATTTGTATCTTACAAAATACTTAAAACATGAAAAAGAAAAGATGACAGACAAGGCAGCCAGTACGGTTCTGGTAAACTACTTAGAAAAATATTATTCTAAGCAAAGTCAAGAATCGGGCACCGTGTCTACAGTGGAAACCATGATGAATACGATATATAACCATGACGGTAAAGCGCAACCGAGCGAAGTGGAGGGTGATCATCCTGCGACAAGGGAGGTACTGGTAACTAAAAAGTATAAACCAGTCGCACAGAAAATCCGACCCGTCTTTCAGGACCTGCCAGATAAATTTAGAATTATTCAGGATATAAAAGGCGATCCAATGGACACCTTGCCAAAGCTGAATAGAAACCCACCAAAATTCACACCCACGGGTCGCTATACTGAAGAGCGAAGAGAGCAATTTGACAAAGTTCATGACAGCGATTTCTCGTGGCCAGAGGAGCGCAAACTACTACATCATTTTATGATGGAAAACAACGAAGCCTTTGCTTGGGATGATAGTGAGAGGGGGAGCTTCAAAACAGAATACTTCCCACCCGTAGACATTCCAATAATTCCACATACGCCGTGGGTTTTGAAAAATATTCCAATACCTCCTGGACTTTATCAAGAAGTGTGCAGAATTATTAAGACCAAATTGGATGCTGGGGTATATGAACCCTCAAATTCTTCTTATAGGTCAAGATGGTTTTGTGTATTAAAGAAAGATGGAAAAAGTTTGAGGCTTGTACATAGTCTGGAACCTTTAAATGCAGTGACTATAGCGCATTCAGGGTTACCACCGGCAACCGATGCACTTGCTATGCATTTCGCTGGTCGTGCTTGCGGAGGAATGTTTGATTTATACATAGGATATGATGAAAGGCTCTTGGCAGAGACTTCCAGGGATCTGACTACATTTCAAACACCTTTTGGAGCTTTAAGGCTTGTCACTCTACCCATGGGTTGGACAAATTCCGTTCCAATTTTCCATGATGATGTTACGTATATTTTACAAGAAGAAATTCCTGAAGTAACTGTACCATATATTGATGATGTGCCTGTCAGAGGGCCTGCAACAAGGTATGAGTTGCCAGATGGAAAATATGAGACTATACCTGAAAATAGCGGTATAAGAAGGTTCATAATGGAACACTTCGAAAATGCTAACAGGGTAGTTCATAGGATGAAATATGCTGGAGGAACCTTTTCGGGATTTAAGTCAGTAATTTGTGTGGCTGAAATAACAGTGGTAGGCCACCTATGCACTTATGAAGGCAGAAAACCGGAAACTGAAAGAATGAAAGTTATAGATCTTTGGGGACCTTGTAAAGACCTACATGATGTCAGGGCTTTTCTAGGAACTGTAGGGGTCTGCAGAATGTTTATTGAGAATTTTGCAAAGAAAGCAGAACCTCTCAACGATTTATGCAAAAAGGGAGCTCCTTTTGTATGGGGACCAGCACAAGAAAAGTCTATGGACGAATTGAAATCCTCACTTCGCGAAAGTAAAGCGCTCGTGCCATTGGATTACGAAAATAATCCTAACCCAGTGGTACTAGCTGTAGACACCTCTTGGAAAGCGGTTGGGTTCTACATATATCAGGATAACCATACGACTGGGCTTAGGCAGTATGCCAGGTTCAGTTCTATAACTTTGAATGATAGAGAAGCTCGATTTTCCCAACCAAAAAGAGAATTATTTGGTTTAATGCGATCTTTACAGGCTGCATCATACTGGCTTCTAGGATGTCGAAAACTAATTGTGGAAACAGACGCGAAATACCTGTCAGGTATGCTTCGAAACCCTGAAATGGGACCGAATGCAACCATCAACAGATGGATTGACACATGTCTAATGTTCCATTTTAAGTTACAACATGTCCAAGGAAAGACCTTTGGCGCAGATGGATTATCGCGCAGAGACGCTCAACCAGGTGACGATGTGTATCCACCTTCAGATGAACATCTCGACGAACCCGTTGGTGTCATTGAAGTGTTACCAGATCCAGATGGAGGGGAGCCCCCTTTGGATTTCGAAACCTTCAAAGATCAAATTGACTCGAGGGGGGGATATATCCAACAATTGGCTCTAGACATCTCAGATTTTAAGGATGAACTAGACAGGGAAATAGCAATGACACAGAAAATAGCTAAAGATGTGAAAACAAGAGTGGACAATGATCCAGATCATACAAAAAGCAGCCCAGAACAGAAGGATTTTCTTCGAACTTACATGATTTCGACTTTAACTTCACCAGGCCTGGAGGCCAGGTTTGACGAACTAGAAACAGAGCAACCTTACCCGGAAACTCATAGGTCATTCATTGGACAGTCACAGGATGAATTCCTTCTTATACTAAGAGAATGGCTGAAAAATCCTAAAAAGATCGAAGGATATTCTGATAAAAAGTACAGCGCTTTCGTAAGATTTGCAAAAAGTTTCTTCCTAGACAAAGAGGATAGATTATATCGTCGAAGCATTGAATCACGTCACAAGCTA